AAAAATAAACAAGTTGTTGTGTTTCCTGAAAAACATTCGAAAAAGGTATACCAATGTTTTCTTATAGAAACTCATTTTTAGGAGAATAATTAATTACATACTTTATGAAAATGTTATTAATTATTGGTTAAAAATAGATTTCGAAGTTGTTGAGTATGCCGACTCCTATGAAAGGAATTGATTTGCTACCGCTTTCAGTTGAGGATAAATTAATAAGAGACTATTTGTTTCATCATAGTAAATTGGAAAGGTTCTATTTCTTTCAAGAAATATTTTCTTTTTATGTTTCATGTGTTTATATTGTCACATTGACATGTATCACTTAATTAATATGATAGTGAAATTCTTATTAACCTTGATATTCAACATGGAACGCGCAAAAACATATGGACATTAGATCGTGGTTGTTGGCTTCATGGACAAGTAAGTGGTAAACCGTTGCACAAATGAATTTATAATGTACAAGATAATTGCATTTATTATTGAGTTGTTGTTTCTTAGATAATCACTTTAGTTGCTTTGCAATTTACATTAAAGCAAAAGGATTGTATCCCAGATGCGAAATATCCAGCATGGTATCTACCTATATATTTTTCAGTAATTTACTTATGCATTTTATAATTGAAAGCATTTGACTACGTAGCATATCATGTTTATCTATACTAAGCTTGTGTTATTGATAATTATATTAATTTTTATGAGTTGTAGTAACATATTGGTTTGGTCGTCGTCTTTGGCGGAGGAGGGTCGTCGCCACTCTCTCTTCTCGACCTCGCCGTCGGTGAGAGACCACAGAGGGCTTAGCGATGATGATGATGATGAGAGAGACCCGAATATCTTCTAGACTCGAGCTCTGAAAGTGTTGTCCATGGAATCCGTAGATGAAGCCATCGATTTCTTACTTCTACGCCTAGAACTCGTGCTCTTCCTCTTCCTCCTAGACCGTGAATCATCCGAATCTCAAAGTTTCAAAATTTCATAAAATGAATAGAAAATAAAGGTACAACTACCCTGTATATAATTTACCATGGCTAAAAGAACTGCTGCAGTCAGTCCAGCACCGGCACCCTTAACTTCCTGCGTGTTGGGGTATTGGACAAGATTGAGAAATCTCAGTTTGCAGAAAACTCACATTAAATATAATACATAACGAGTCCCAGATTCTAGAAATACATGTTCCAAAACAAAAATAAAAATAGAACATGAACCTTTGTGAGAAGGTAGGTTGCCCATATAGCAATAGCAGAGAATACTGGAGCCGTAAATACACAAACAGTTTCCACAGACAGAGGAATATTCAAAGAATTCAGTATCCTGCCATCAGAAAGTAAAGTCTCAGCAATAACTAATGCAGCAGGACTCACTCAAATTCACCCTTCTGATTGTTTTATAATAAAGGAAAACCAGATATACAGAGTTCACTAATCTGGTAACAAGGAACACAGAAAATTAATGTTCTTAATCTCTAGTCTCAATCTCAAATACACACCACCACATGGTGCCAGCTGTCAATGTCAATCCAGGGTAAACAGTTCCACCAATCACATGTCCAAGAGGATACCTTAGAACAGATCAAATATACAGTGTCACTTTGCATTCATTACGTAACAACCTATAGTAGAGAAATAAACAAGAGTTTTGCTATATGAAAACCACCACTAGGGTCACAATTACTAGGTCCGATCATCAAACCAATTCCAAAAGTCATAAATTCCATTCTTCGTGAGATACGGAAATAAAAAGCATTCTTGTCATCTTCAATATACCTCTATATTATTGCAAAACAATTAAATGAAGGGAAACATGCACTAGATAAGAATACTAATAACTCAATATAAACTGGATGTGTTTTCAAGAAATTATATTTAAACATTTAGCTACCAATGCTTCATGGACTAGAGAGTACAGAATATAACATAACCCGAGCTATTTATCAAAATTATTTATAGAATAGTATTCTATCTATTCAAAAAGAAAAATTATAGAATGGCATTCTTACATACATTGCATTAAGAGTACAGGTGCAATTGTCATTCTCAAGGTAACAGGGGAGGTATTTACCACATTATGTTATGCTCCAACAATTACAAAGCTCCTTTTTTGTGTGTGTGTGTGTGTGCGCGCGCGCTATGGAAGAAGTGGCTTTTGACCAAATTTCCTCCATGCCTTCCCCCTTTTTCTTTTTTATTCTCTACTTTTTTCCCTTCTCTCTCTCCTCTTTCTTCATTAGTGGTTTAAAAACATAACATCCCTAACTTGGATCCACACATCTTTTGTATACATTTTGTGCTAAATACGATTGCAACTTGGGTAGGTTGAGCACAGCCTAAAAAAAAATTGGGACTGGACAAAATTTTCAAGTCTTTGGGTCAAGCTTAGAAAGAAATTCACCAGCCTGAATTAGTTTCGGTCCAGTTCATAGACAGAGGAGGGCAACCAGAGCCAACCCGAAATCAAACTTGAACAAAATCCACAAATCAAAAATCAGTAAAACAAATGAGGTGAAAACACTCACGGCGGCTACGGATTTGTTGTTAGGATGCTTCTCTTTGTACGTTTTCCTAAACTCCTCCCTAAAACATTTAAAAATATATTCATTGACGCAGAATATACAGATCTAACAACGATTTTCATGCGAGAGAGAGGAAAATAGATGATCACATGAAAACAAAGAAAGCACTAGCAGGCCTCTTCGGCTTGTTAGGGTCCTTGGCAGCCTTCCCCTTCTTCGCCGCTGGCTTTTTACCGGCCTTCTCGCTCGGAGCACCTCTTTTCACCGAAAGCCTAACAACAAAAAAATCGATCTTCAATACCAAAAAAACACACTCTGAATCACACGCATAATAGATCTCAGATCTAAAAACTCCAAAAACAACAAGGCAAACAAAACTTACTTGCTATCGGTCCTTTTGGTCTCCGTTTTCGATCTACCTCCTTTCATGGCGGAACCCTACAACCCTACAAGCAAGGCCATCGAAAAAGAAAGAAATAGGGGTTTGGTCATCGTCTTTGGCAGAAGAGGGTCGTCGCCACTCTCTCTTTTCGACCTCGCAGTCGGTGAGAGACCACGGAGGGCTTAGCGATGATGATGATGATGAGAGAGACCCGAAGATCTTCTGGACTCGAGCTCTGAAAGTGTTGTCCATGGAATCCGAAGATGAAGCCATCGATATCGATTGGTTGATATTTGATTGACGATTCAAACAAGTCTGTATGTATGTATGTTGATATTTGATTCCGATTTCCTACTTCTACGCCTAGAATTCGTGCTCTTCCTCTTCCTCCTAGACCGTGAATCATCCAAATCAGCATCTGAAACAAATTGAGACGGCGAGAGAGAGAGAGAGAGAGAGACGTAAGAAGAGATTAGGGATTTTGAGATTGGGGATTTTGGTTCAAGAGATTGGGGATTTTGGGTTTGGGGTGGGGAGAAACCCGAGCGAGAATGGAAAAGGGAGGGGGGGAAGAGATTACCAATGAATTTTTTTTTTTTTCATTACAAATGAATATTGGAAGAGATTACAAAGGAATTTTTTTTTTTGATTTTCATTACAAATGAATATTTAAATAATAAAATGACTCTTTTTTTCTTTTGCAACGAAGGATGCCGTTGCCAAAAAAAATTATTTTTTATTAAAATAATTTTTTTATATAGTTAATGAATTTTTTTTCATTTAATAAGGTTGAAAATTTATTTGTTTCATAAACTATTTTAATAAATAAAAAATTATTGATTTTTTTTTATTTGGTAAAAGTAGGGATAATATTTTCTATTAAAATGAAGTTAATTTTTTGTGATCAATGAAAAAAAAATTTTGCGACCCTTTTTTTTTTTTTTTTTGGTTACTAAAAATCAAGAACTAATTTTTTGTGGTAGAGGATGGGAAGTGGTAGTAGTGGTGAAAGTGGTGGATAAGAGGTGGTGGTGGTAGTGATGGTGAAGGAGATAAGTGGTGAAGTTGTGGTAGTTGTAGAGGAGATAGAATAGCGATTATGGATGAGAGATAATGGTAGTAGTAGTGGTGGTAGTGGAGTGGTAGCGATGGTGGTAGCAATGATAGTTGTAGAGGTTGAGTGACAACAGTGATAGTGGTGGAATTGCATTTGCAGTAGTGGTGAATGTGATAGAGAAGATGGGTGGTGCGAGAGAGATGAGTGAGAGACAGATAGAAAAGAGAGATAGAGAGACAGAGAGAAAGAGAGAGATAGACAGACAGACAGAGACAAAGTGATGAGCGAGAGAGAGACAAAGTAGTCGCTAAAAGTGCATTTTCTTGTAGTGGAGAGCTCGGTAAATAGAGAAGAGATGATAGAGAGAGTGAGCAAGGTGAACACAATGAGGGAGAGAGACAAACAGACAGACAGACACATAGAGAGAGAGAGAGAGAGAAGAATGAGAGACAGACAAACAGACACAGAGAGAGAAAAAGAGAGAGAAGAGTGATAAGTGAGAGAGAGACAAAGAGAGAAAGAGATATATAGAGAGAGAGAGAGAGAGACATATAGAAAAATAGAGAGAAAAAAGAGATGAGCGAGAGATAGACAAAGAGAGAGAGAAAGAGAGCGAAAAGAGATGATCGAGAGAAAGACATAGAAAAAGAGAGAGACGAAGAAAGAAGAAAGATGAGTGATGAGTGAGAGAGAGCAGAAATATGAGTGATGGAAGTAAGAGAGTGAGCAAGGCGAACATAGTGAGGGAGAAATAGACAAATAGACAAGTAGACAGAGAGAGAGAGAGAGAAGAGTGATGAGTGAGAGAGAAATAGAGAGAAAGAGAGAGAGATAGAAGGAGAGATAGAAAAATAGAGAGAAACAAGAGATGAGCGAGAGATAGACAAAAAAAGAGAGAAATAGAGTGAAAAGAGATGAGCGAGAGAGAGAGAGACAGAAAAAGAGAGAGGGACAGAGAGAGAAGAGAAATGGGCGGGAGAGATAGAGAGAGATAGAAAGATAAGAGAGAGAGAGAGAAAATAAATGAGAGAGATAGAGAGAAGAAAGATGAGCGAGAGAGACAGAGAAAGAAAACAGATGAGAGAGATAGAGAGAAGAGAGATAGGCGAGAGACACAGAGAGAAACAGACAGACAGAGAAAGAAGAGTGGTAAGTGAAAGAGATAAAGAGAAGAGAGAGAGAGAGATAGAGATAGAGAGACAGGAAGATGAAAAAATGAATGAAAAGAGAAATGTTATATCAAAAGAGTAAGACGACATTGTTTTTTTAATTTTTTTTGCGACAAAAAAATACCGTTGAATTTATTCAAAACATTTTGTGACTGTATATATATGAAACTGTCTCAAAACCACAATCACTATGCTGGATTAGAGTTTTCCAAAAACTCTTTTGAGAAAATTATACTTTCTTGTTTTCCGTATTATATTGTTTTTACTGAAATATTTTAAGTATTTTTTTAATTTTTAGACACACCTAACATAAACACACCTAAAAATTAAAAAAATTGTAAAAAAAATCTTTTAAAAATTCACTAAATACCAAAAATACAATAATTCAATACATTTTTTTTTTGTATTTTTATGTATTTATTAATTTTTAAAAATATTTTTTCATAATTTTTTTTGTAGATACATCTAAATAAGGTGCATCTAAAAAAAAATTTAAAATTTTAAAAATATTCACTAAAAAAAAACACGAAAGTCACTTTTTGCGACGGTAGAAAATGTCATCTCAAAAAAGCAGAGCATTTGCAACGGCACCATTTGCCGTCTCAAAAAAGCAGAGCATTTGTGACGGCACAATTTGTCGTCTCAAAAAATGAGTATTTGCGACGGCAGAAAATACCATCGCAAATGCTCTCATTTTTTGAGACGGCAAATGGTGCCGTTACAAATGCTCTGTTTTTTTGAGACGGCATTTTCTACCGTCGCAAAAAGTGACTTTTTGAGACGGCAAGTGTGCCGTCGCAAATAGTTTCGTCTCATGAACCCACTTTTCTTGTAGTGTGAGCACATTTACTTATATATTTCCTACTAGATGGGGTGAAGGTAGTAGCAATCAAGCTCAACAATCTGATTCCCAAGATGCACCGCGTCACTCATTTTGGTGGGGTAAAGGTAGCAGCAACAATCAAGCTCAACAATCTGAATCCCAAGTTGCACCACGTCACTCATTTTGGTGGTGACATTATGTAATTTTAGTAGTAATATTATGTAAAATGTACTCTCTATTATTTGTGATTTGTGGTATGATGTTATGTACTTAGTCAAGTTCTTCCATTAAGGATGTATACTTTTTTAAAACTATTAGAGTTAAAATATACATATGCTTCCACAAGTATAATAATTAAAAATAATTTTATACATCTAAGTCCAATAAAAGAAATTTTTGCCACAACTGTAATATGGATTTATGACATATAAAGTCATTAATTATTGAAATAAAATGTAAAAAAATTCATTATCTAGTGATTTAAAAATATGAAATATATTAGATCATACTTAAAAATTGTCAAAAATTTATCAAAGTTTATTTTAAAACCCAATAAATATGATTCTAAAAAAATATATATGCGTATCGGTAAGTTTTTTGCAAATTATGTGAAATTGCAAATTAAACAATATGAATCCCAAGTTGCACCACGTCACTCATTTTGGTGGTGACATTATGTAATTTTAGTAGTAATATTATGTAAAATGTACTCTCTATTATTTGTGATTTGTGCTATGATGTTATGTACTTAGTCAAGTTCTTCCATTAAGGATGTATACTTTTTTAAAACTATTAGAGTTAAAATATACATATGCTTCCACAAGTATAATAATTAAAAATAATTTTATACATCTAAGTCCAATAAAAGAAATTTTTGCCACAACTGTAATATGGATTTATGACATATAAAGTCATTACTTATTGAAATAAAATGTAAAAAAAATCATTTTCTAGTGATTTAAAAATATGAAATATATTAGATCATACTTAAAAATTATCAAAAATTTATCAAAGTTTATTTTAAAACCCAATAAATATGATTCTAAAAATATATATATGCGTATCGGTAAGTTTTTTGCAAATTATGTGAAAAATAAAAAAATTCACAGTTCTGGTAACCGCAACAGTTACGCTGCGACCTTTACACCATACAACCGCAACCGCGCCACCGCCACCGTTACCGTTACGGCGACTGCAACCGCTTTTCGGAACCTTGCTCTCGGTAGAAATCCCTCAACAACTAGCACTTCTTACTTTCCGTACTTTCTTAAATGTCCCAAATAACCATCTCACTGGACTTAATCCACAACGGAAGCAATTTAACATTTGCAACCCATTCCTTTGAGTGGAATCCAGGATTGTGCGGAGATCCTTTGTCAAGGAAATGTGGAATGTCAGAGGCACCACCATCATCATCACCACCAACATTGAACTTAAAACAAGATAATGATTAAGTGTTCAAAAGTATAGTTGATTGGATTGTCATATGCAAGGGATGTGTGAGTGGAATAGTGATCGGGACGGTTATTTATTGGGCACACATTGACTACAAGGTAATATGAATGGTTCATAAAGACTTTTGTAAAGAAACTACAGAAATAGAAAAAGGTGAAAAGGAGGGGACGAGGAAACTGAAGTCGATTAGGCAATATATCACTGAGAGGGTAATTTATATATAAATTGGGCCGAGCTAGGGTGATGGGCCGTTTTATGGGCCGTGTTAAGGAGGCTTAAAAGATGGGCCATGGACTAGTGGTAGTCCGGTCCGAACTAAGAAGTTTGTCACTGGAGCAAGTGGGATTAATTCGGTCTACATGATTTGGGGGGTTAGCTCGGTCACGCTGTTTGGAACCGAGGTATGTTGAGCCCACCCTATGACTTGATCATAGTTAGCTCGGCTTAATTCTTCTATGGATAGCTCGGCTTTTGTATATGAAACCGAGGTAGGAGAAAGGAAAGGATAGCCGATGTAACCGTTAGATCGGTCTCGCTAGTTAGTCCAGCATGGTACTGTTATTTTGGTCCTGTAGCTCGGCCATGGTAAAACCATCTCACTTGGTTTAAGCAGTAAGGGGGGTGTTGAAGGATAAGCATTGTCTTTCAGGAGTAAGAATCCTAGGAGGACTCTACATGGAGGAGTAAGAGTCCTACTTGGATTGTGCCACACGGAACCTATAAAAGCTCACAAACATCACCTATGGAGAGGTAACACAACTTTGTTTTCTGAATACACAGAGCTTTTGTCTATTTGTCAAGCTTACTGACTTAGGCATCGGAGAGGTTTCCAGCACACACCCGCCGGCTAGCTCACGTTTGTGTTTTCAGG